TTTTTTTTTTTTTTTTTTTTTTTAAAGCCAGAAAAGAAACGAGGGCAGAGAAAAGGGGCCATCATTTATCCAGAACATAATTTACAACAGTGAATTCAGACTGACTGAACTCGGGCTCATATGGCAACACATCCAATATCTTCACTGGCCTTCTGAAATGCCTTTTGTCTAGTTTATCCCATCCCACCTCCTGGTCTGGGCACTATACCCTTCAAAGGCAAACACCCTTCCAACATCAGTCTTCAACTCTTGTGCTTAAAAGCTTGTGGAAAGTCAAGACGGAATCATCTCGACTTCTCCAAGATTAAATTCTTCACTAAAGGAGTGTTGAATACGACTGCTACTCTTGACCTACCAAAACCTACCGAAATTCACATTTAAGAGAAACTCATTAGTGTGCGGAACCTTAATCAAACCACACTCACGAACTGGAGTCAATTTTTTACCTTCTTGACCGATGGCTTCCTCGCCCTCCAGCTTCAGGAAAACATCTTCCAGGGTTGTCCTGCTAACCTCGTAATTAACAACCCCCTGCAAAAAACTGCTCTCAAGATGGCTGAACAGATCTGCAGGATAGAAACAACCAGACTCAGCCCAGCAACCCAGGCTAGTGTTGAGCAGAAACTCGGGCTAGCACGAGTAACACTGTGCCCTAGCATTCACATCATTAAACTCCGTAACTTAAAAACCATGGCAAAATTATCACGCCCTTCAGAGACAAGTAGCAGAAAATGCAGACTTCTTGATTACCATCGGCCTTTCTGGTGGGAGAAACATCATCCCGAAACCAGAGGAGACTCAGTGGATTTTAGTTTGTAGATTAGTTGGATTTTCTTGAGTTCATCTGCATTATTAATATCAGCATGTCCATTAGAGGCTTTCTGTAAGGCTGATGCAGCTCTGGCCTTCCTCATTACAGTATGGGTCAGGGACTATGGTTATTCCCGTCAGAGCAACTTTGCTTTCTGCTTTTCCCACCGCTTGGTTTCCCTTTACAAGCCTGGCGCAAAGACAGGCTTTTCTTACCCGGGAAGCTCTCCGTGTTTTCCAGAGGAAGCGTATAACAGAGTTCACCCCGCTTCTGCCCTTTGAGCACAGCATCAGGGATGTACTGCCTGACCAGGGATGATGTGAGCTCAGGATCACACAGGTCATTTATGCGTATCCTGTTTGTTATCAAAAAGCTATTGCTATAATATTAAATGAGGGGAAAAAAAAAAAAAAAAAACACCAAAAAACACAACAGTAAACAAAGTAAGGAAAGATATATTGTGTTTAACCAATTTAATTAAAAAAGAAAAAGATAATGTAAGTTAGCTTAGGTTCTGTATGGTATCGGGTTTTTAAACATACCTCTGCTTTGCAAGTGGGAACTTGTCTATACGTAACTGTTTATATTTCAAGGAAAAAAACTCTACTTAATTTCTGTTCCTCACTTGATTTCAGGATCAGAAATTGAGGATTTCGTTGCAGCTTTGAAGACTCAAAACATAACCCCAGAAATAACTCATGAGAAAAACATCACAAGCATCCCACTACACAATGGAGCTATAAAAATATCCCTGGAAGGCAAGGTGAGGGTTTTTCTTTTTTCTTCTTTCATCCTGTACGTCAGCATGATTTTCTGAAATGTGTTTAAATGAGGCACGGCGAAACACACACACACCCCCCAGCAAAAGGGAGAATATTTGTTGGCCATATTAAATAATATCAGTAGTCCTGTTTGTGGGAAGCCAAGACGATATTTGGTTCTTTCCCCTGTAGGCTTCTTCACAGTGATCTTTAAAGAAAAGCATCAACGCAAGTCCTTTTGCGGTTTTCTCCAGAAATTGTTGTCTTCATCAATCGTTTTGCTCATGATTCCACCAATAAAGCTGTCTGATTGCCTTTGTCATTGCTTTTCTCTAAACCCCTCGCTGCGCTCAGCTGCTCCTCACACCTCTCACGGGCACGAAGGTAACATCCTTTGCTTTTCCACCTTCCCTCAGAGCTACCGATTCACGGTCATGTGCAGTGCAGAGCCCGTCAACTGCTTCCCCGTGCTCATCAATATCCTCAGCAACACCTTCCTCAGGCTCTTCAATTCCACCGCGCGCATCCGCGTCTGGACTGAGCCCTTTTACAACGTGAGTGCCCCGTCTGCCTTGGTGAAGGTGAAATGGAACAGTCACACTGATAAGGACTAGAGGGGTTGGAAAGCTGGTTGGATGAGCAGCCACCAAGGGGTTGGGGTCAGTGGTCCAACTGCTGGCCAGTTCCTGGGGACACTGCTCAGCAGTCAATACCGGTGCTTATTTAATGACAATTTCTTCTGCAGTGTTTAAGAGCTCTATGGGATTTCAGTGCCACAAGACATTTAAACTTGCGCCGTGTGGCAATGTGGTAGGAATACAGCGGTAACACTTGCAAACCCCACCTTCATCGGCATCCATTTGGCAAGAATCAGCATCAAAAAGATCCCTCCTCAATAACTTGCAGTAATTCCAATACTTTTTGCAAATTCTAAGATGCTAAATGCTTGCTTTGTTGCCTTGTTTTGTGTTCTTAAACACAAATATCTTTACTATTAGTCTTACTGCTCATTTGCGTGTTGAACCATCCTGTGAGCGTCAAGCTAGCCAGAATTTTCCCTGAGCAGCCGTTGATTATTGATGACTCTGAATTTCTGTTCCACAGACACACAATCCAGAATTAGAGAGAGATATTTTCTTCATCTGCCTCAGCTACATGCTGATTTTGGTTGCTGGTTTGTCTCCTCACTTTGCAGTAAGCAGCATGGAAGATTACAAGGTAAAAAAACATGTGCTGTCGGTGATCTTGCACAAGAAGGGAATGCAGATGCAATGTGTCTGGAGCACGGCTCATGTACCAGTGGGCTGGCTGGCATTTCTAGGTAGGATGCTATTAAAAAAAATACAGCCACATCACATTACCCCACATCTTGGGGAATCGGCTGGGTCTCAGAACAGTTTGGGTGTTAATAAAGATTTTGGGGTCAGGAGGAATTTTGATTATTTTTTTTTCCCCCTTTTAAGAATGATGCGGTTTTAAACAAGAAAGAATTGAATATTAAATTGAAAGAATTGAATTTTGTATAAGAAAGAATTGAAAGTGCTTGGAAAGCTCAGCCAGGAAAGGAAGGAGAGAAGGTAACGGAGAAGGAAGAGAACTGATGTTTTAGGCTCTTCTAAATCACGTCTCTTTTCCCATTTGCTTTCTCAGCTCCAGGCTCGCGCCCAGCTGCGGCTCGCAGGGCTCTTCCCCTCGGCGTACTGGTGCGGGCAGGCGCTGGTGGACGTCCCGCTCTTCTGGACCCTGGTGTGCCTCATGTTTGGGCTCGTGGTGCTCTCCAACCGCACGTGCCCTCTGCAGGCCAGCACCGTGCTGCCCCTGGTGAGCTCTCTGCGTACGGGAAAACGGGCAGGCACAAATCCCCCTCCCTTGCTTTGCAGTGAGTTTTTGCTTTAAATATTTTAATCGAAACAGACTGCTCCAGGGAGGTTTTCATATATCTACACCCACCTCCTTGTCGCTGACATCAGTCTCTCTCTCCAGATAATTTGCATCACTGGTTATGGAGCGTCTCTTGTCCTCCTTGTCTATTTAATTGCCTTTAAATTTCGCACGGGACGAAGTAATCGTTACATTTGGTCTTCCATCTTCATTCTGGTAAGCGCAGTGAATCTTCACCCTGAAGTGTCTGATTCACACATCTTGTCACTTGAGGTTTCATTTCAAATATCCTGATTTTCAGCAGAACAGCCCAAATCGATGACAAATAGCCTATTTTGTAGCGACAACACATGAATATTGGAAATACTTTTCCTACTTTGTTCCAGGTGAATTTCATTCTCTATTTGTTCAGTAACAAAGCGGTTTACTTCATCTTCTCTACTTTGATTCCTGTGTTTCCACCAATGGGCTGTTTGATGTTCTCTACACCGGTAAGTAAACACGTCCTCTTAAATTCCACAATGGTCCTAGTAGTGCAAACGGGAAAAGCAGGAAGCGCTTCCCAAATTCCCAAAGTGCCAACTGTCACAAAGACAGAGTGAGAAAAGACAACAGGAGGAGAAAAGGTCCAGGCTGGTGAGTGAGAGAAGAGACCAAGATTTGACTTGTTAATCCTTTGTTTGACTAGGATCTTTTTAGTTTATTTAGTTATAAAAAGCGGTTACAATAACAGTATCTTGGCAGCTGGGGTAGCATGGGAGGGGAAGGTGGTGGAGTGGGAAGAGCTGGAGGGATGCAGTGAGCAGACAGGAGGTGCGAGTACTGAGAAGAGAGAAGCAGTGATGGAAAACGTCGATCTAACCTGCCTGCTTTGACCTCTGAATTACCTGTAGCCGAGGAAGCCACAGCTCCTTGAGGCAGTATGAACCCCCCAAAATAGTTACAGATCCTGAAGATAAGAAGCTGAGCATCCCTACATCCCACACTTGTTCCAACCCTGCATTGAGGCACGCCATGCAAAAGAATTTTTCTAACTGACTGATATATTTTTTTTTTTCTTATAGCGTTATTTGATGTCACTCGACAGCCATTCTGAGTCATGGAATAACATCTTCGTAGTTGTCTTTGCAGTAAGGAGCAATTTGATGATGGGGGTTTTGGAAAGGGTGACTGTTCGAATGCGATGGACTTGCACTGGGCTTGTGTAACTCTCCCTGTAAATAAATCATGGGTTTATGTGGTCAGAGTTTCACATTAAATGTTGGCGGGGAGGCACATCCGAGTGATCATGGGCTTGCGTCTCAGGTGACCCCTGGATGCTGGATCATTACGGGCAGTAATGGTGGGGGGGTTAAGCTGAGCTCAAGTACAAGGCAGCGATATTATTAATCAACCAATCGGTTTAATGCTGCTTCTACAGAAGAAAGATGTGATCTCTGATCCTGCCTGTTGGAGTGCAGATTATCTGAGCTAAAACTGCAGTGTGAAGTCAAGGCTTTGGCCTTGAGATAAAAATGTATGTGAAACACCAGTTTAGCTTCTTCCCGTTTTGGACTTTTTCAATAGCTGAAGCATCTGCTAGAGAGGGCCCTTGTCGTTAAAACCGATGGCGTTGTTGTCTTGCCTCCAAACAAACCTAATTAATTCTTGCTTTTTAGCCTTACATCCACGGCGTGATTTTTGCTTTCCTCCTGCGCTGTTTGGAGGTGAGAGGTGGAGAAGCAGTTACGAGACTTGATCCCATCTTCAGGTGGGTCCCGGGTGCCCGACGTGCCTCCGAGTCACCCTTATCCCAGCCTGCACGGCCGGGCAGGACCCTCCTGCCTCACCCCTGAGAGCAGGAAGGGAGGAGGAAACTTAAAAATATTTTGCAATGTGAGGATAAACCCCATATTTTTAGTTTTAACCAGTTTATCTGGAGGGGAGGAAACTGAGAACAAAGGGAGGATTCCTCTGGGTCATTAGCTTCCAACTTTACTTACTGGAGTTTCCCTGAGTGTGTCTGGAGGCAAATTCCCACCCAGTGTGTTGCAATAGAAGGTCAGTTGAACTACAGTATCCTACAGAGAATAATAAATGTGATTTAAGCTTTTCTTTATTAAGCTTCATAGCTGAGGTTTCAGGGCATTTCACTACAGCTGGCTAAATTAATAGTTATGAACTGAAATCCAACATTTTAGCTCCTTTTTAAATCTGTTGGTTTGCTTTCTGCAGGACAGAGACTTTCCCTAAATCTTCACCAGAGACTTTCCCTAAATCTTCATCAGGCTGAGGTGGTCTGCTATCTGCTCTCTGCACCTAAGTCATGTGGGAGAAGATTTGTAAAAAATACCAAATTGTCAAACATTAACAAACGTGGCTCAGCTAGGATTAGATGCCCAAATAGCTTTGAAAACCTGCCCCATGTATTTTAATTCTCCTCGAACAGATTATTGGCACGTGTCGAGCAGGGGACCACCGGTCAATACTTACTGATGAAGGAAAAGCTAAACCAGGCCTTTATTTTCTCGTGCATGCCAGAGGGATTTGATTTTTTTTTTCTCCCCCTATGAATCAATATTTGAGCTGTGGAACAGCTCCCTGGATTCAAATAAATCTTGTGGGGCGCTGCACTGCTCCTGCCCTAGGAACAAATTTGTAAACCCAAGCCTTTTTGGAAGTGATTCCTGGTGACACCATCTCTCCTCCTCCTCGTAGGATCCAGCGGAGGAGAGCGGTCACCCGCCAGAACAGGGACCACCCTGGGGAGGAGTCCCCAGAAGTCCAGGCGGAGAGGGAGAGGGTGAGGAGCGTGATGGCCTCTGTGCATCAGGAGGAGGTGAGACCAGCCTTCTGGCTTGTTTTTCATCCTCCATCTTCAGGTCTGTCTCTGCTTGCTTAGCTCATACATTTATTATTTACCGATCTGATGTCCAAGTGCACATCTCACCATCCAGACCACAGTCTCCCTGGCATCAGAAGGAGTTTAGCTGGCACTATATTTTTATTCCCATTCTGATTTTTTTTTTTTCTGTTGCTCTCTTTCCTGGATTTTTAATTTAGAAATGTTCTCTTTAAAGATTCATACTTAATGGTAAGAACAGATGAGTTGTCTCATGGGATAGGAGCAGAGTTTTTTATTTCCCACTTCATCTCTTCACAGGAGTCAGTTATTGTTGTCAACAGTTTGCGCAAGGAATATGAAGACAAGAAAGCCAGTTCCATCTTTAAGAAAAAGAAGAAAGTTGCAGTCAAAAACCTCTCTTTTAGTGTCAAAAAAGGTTCAAGTATTTCTCTGCACTCCCTATGAATGGCTAAAATCTGTGAAGGTCACATTTGGAGGCCATATCTTTGTTCGAATTTTCTTACGTGTAACCAGACCCAACACACCCGGGGTCTTGCATTCACAATTTTAATTTATGAGGATAAGTTAAGGAACAACACTTTTTCACACTGTACTTTCAGATATGGCCTAGAACACAGGGTGGAAAGTCTTATTAACAATAATTAACGGTTCTTGCGTATTTATTCCAGGAGAAGTCTTAGGTCTGATAGGACCCAACGGAGCTGGAAAAAGCACAACTATAAACATGATTTCTGGAGACATAACGGTGACTGCTGGGGAGGTAGGTGATTCCTTTGGAGCAGCTGGGAAGATGACCTTGATGCTTTTATAAATTAAGGATGTGGTAAGGCAAGCTGGCAAGACAGCCCTTAAGGAATTTATGTAATGCAGCCTTGAATATTTACAGAAGTAAGACGAAAGTGTTGATTTACTGGAAGCACATTGTAATTTTCATCAAAATCAGTGTTACAGACTTAAGGGTTTGAGCTACACAAAATCTTTGGTGTGCATTTGAAACCCCTCGTGAAATTTCACAAGCCCTGTGAGAAATGTTGACATCTTAAAAAAAAAAAAAAAAAAATAACAACAACCAAACCAAAACCCAACACTCTTCATAAACAGCCTTGCAAAACCAGGAAATTGAAAACGAATGTGAACAGGGTTGGGCCAGCAACAATCCATCGCTTAATTACGTGTTGATTAATGACATGTGCTGGGGGAGGGGAAATACCATTGCTGTTACAGATTTGGGACTGAATGTCTGAAACAGAAAAATATCACTGGGAAAAGATAGTGTCATGTTGGGACTGTTACCCAGTTTGACCGTAGTGTATACTGTTTGGTTCTGTGGAAACGCTGTCCTGGATTCAGGTGAGCAGAAGCCACGCGAGATGGAGGTGATCGCTCCAAAGATGCTGCCCCTCCCTTCCCACGGGCTAATGAGGTTTCCACGTTTGCAGGGGGGTCACTGTTTCACCCCAGAATAACACGCTACAATGACAGGGATGTGTGTCTGTGCAGGTGCTGCTCCAGGGCCGCGATGCCGTTGCCTCCTCCCCCGGGCAGCGCAGCCCGGGGTGCCTGGGCTGCTGCCCGCAGCGGGACCCGCTCTGGCCAGCCCTCACCGTGCACCAGCATCTGGAGGCGTATGCTGCTGTGAGAGGGATGAGCAAAGAGGATGCTGCTGTTAGCATCAGCCGGTATGAAACCAAATGATTTTTGCTTTCGGTTCTTCCTCTTTTCAGAGATACAGGACAGGGAAAGGTTTTCCTGCAAATAAACCTGGCTAGTGTGATTAAGAGACACGACCTACAAGGCGTCTTTACGTTGGAGAAACGAGATCTCCCTTCTGATGACATCTGCTACTTTATACTGTTCTCAATCCCTTGTTAATGAAGCCCTAGTTTATCTAGAAAACTTCAGAAAAAAAGAATTAAACTTGCTTCAGTTCATGGCCAGTTACATGAGTAGCTCACTTCTCCCATTAGCTGCACTTACTGTCTTGAGTTTCTACAAAAATTCCTTGATTTACTGTCTGAGCTAGGAGTAAAATCACCAAGTATCTCAAAGTGATGCATATCAGCTGAAACAAATATGTTAGTCCCTTCTTCCTCAGCACCTCTGACCACAGCATTAGCAAACAGAAACGGTTGTTTCAGTATTTTTCCATTCCTCACAGCATAGAAAAGGCCTTGGATCTCCAGAAGCATTCAAAAACCCCAGCTAGGCGGTTATCTGCTGGAGAAGCCAGAAAGGTACGTGTTAAATTTGTGTTTTGTTACTTGAGCAAATCCTGCTCGCTCTTCCTTGAATGTGGTGCCCAGGAAAACTTCGGCAGTGTGGGTTCCTCACATTAGGAACCTGCAGGATCCCCCTTCTCCTCTTTGCCCACTCTCTTGCGTTGTGTGTTTAATAAATGCTAACCACAAATTGGATTCCCGAGGTAATCACCTGTCCGTGCCCTACCACATGCATCTGTCAGTAAATAGGATGGAAAACCACTTTCAGATCTTTGGCAGGCTTCGGATTTTGGGGGAAAGCTGATTTGGGGAGATAAAAGTGTTAACGAAGAACACCCAAGATGGGTTGTTTGGAATCCCCGTTCCTTCTGCATTTTGGAATCAAGAGCTTCAGCTCGTAAAAGATTCACAGGGATTAAGATGTAGCAGGACAACTCGGCAGTTTAGCAGGAAAAGTAAAAGCAGACCTGCCTTGATCTTGGTGTCTTTCCCATTTCAGCTGTGTTTTGCACTGAGCGTCCTGGGAGATCCGACGGTGATGCTTTGGGATGAGCCATCGGTGGGCATGGACCTGAAAGGGCAGCGCCGCATGTGGTGAGCAGCCCTGTTTTAGCAGAACTGATTTAACAGGATGGGTCTTACCCTCCCTATTGCAGCAGCCGTCGGGCAGGCAGAGAGGTTCACGCTCGGCGGCAGAGTACATCTGTATTTTTTTTCCCCTAACGCACAGGGGATGGGACACCACTCCCTAAACTCCTTACTCAGTGGGCAAAAAAAAAAAAAAAAAAAAAAAAAAAAATCTGAGTAGACACCAGCTGAACTCATGCATTTGGTACAAAAGACAAAAATTCCTGTTTGCGTCAGAGCAAGAGAAAAATTTATAGGTAGTTCTTCCTTTTCATCATTCTCCCTCAGTGCTTGCTCTAGCTTTTCATCAACAGTTTACACTGAAAGTGAAAAATCTGGAGGGATGCTGACAGGACAAATTGCAACATAGCGTTGGCATCCATATGTCATCTTTAAGCGAGATGACTGAAGTCTTTTAAACAGTCGCCGTCTTTTTTGTGTAATTTTATCATTTCAGTTGTTTTTTGGAAGGGAGACATAAACAAGGAGACTTTCTTTGACTGTTCTTGGGAAGTAACTGTGATCCCTGTGGTTCCCAGGAAGGTTATTCAGACTGCCATGAAAAGCAAGGAGCGGGCAGCCATCCTCAGCACGCAGTACCTGGAGGAGGTGGCGGCGATGTGTGACCGAGTGGCCATCCTGGGCTCGGGGCAGCTACGGTGGGTACCAGGGTCAAACTGGGATCACCAGCATTGCCACCTGACTTTTAGTCTGGGTTTTTTTCGGGTTTGTTTTGTTTTGTTTTGTTTTCTTGTGAATCTAACAGAAAATGTTGGTTCGGATTGTCCCAAGTGTGTAACAACTGTGAGGAGGCAGGTTGTTTTAGCAGCACAGGATAAACAGCTGGTGAATAAGACGATGTACATCTGCTGCTCATACCCAGTGATTGCTTTATTTGCTGGTTATGACGGTTTGAGCGCTGTTTTCCCTCCTCTGCAGGTACATCGGTTCCCTTGAGGATCTGAAAAGTAAGTTTGGCACAAGTTACCACCTAGAAGTCAAAACGATGGACGCGGGGCAAAGCGATGCTCTCCACGCCGAAATTCTGCACCTCTTCCCCTGCGCGGCTCGGCAAGAAAGGTCACTGCCCCGTGGGCTGCACTCCCAGCCTGGACTGGTGCTGGGATGCTCTGTTGCTCCTACTGACCTTGCTCAATAATTTACCTGGGAGTACAGTAACCCTACAAGCACCCCTAAACCTTGGCCCTGAGTCACGAAATGATAAATTCATGGGGGTTTATTACTTTTTCAGGACTTCTTCTTTGCTCATCTACAAGATCCCAATGGAAGATGCACTACCTCTGTCGCAGTCTTTCTCCAAGCTAGAATCAGGTGAAAGGAAACAATCCATTAAGTAATAAGATTGCTTTCAAATTGTTCATATGGATTTGTTTTTTAAGGACGCCTTCTCCATCCCTCCACAGCTAAAAGGAATTTCAGGCTTGAGGAATACAGCTTGTCATTGCACACTCTGCAGCAGGTACGCTGGTGTAGATGTTACAGGTTAAAAAGAAATAACCTGTGGCCAATGTAAACCCTGCCAGTCCTCGGCAATAATGGGGTCGTTTCCACTGTGGCATGTTTCAGGCGTTTGTAGACCTCACCAGGGACCTGGAGGAGCACGACCTGGATACGGCATCAGATGGGCTTGTGGAGCAAAGACCGCTTCACCCCTGAGCCCTTGGAGCCACGAAGGAAAATATTCAGCGTATTTCATCAGTGTTACTGATAGACGTGATGGGATGCAGCCCTAGGACTTGGTTACCCATGTCACAACACATACCACCTGCAAGTTTTGTGCTTCACAAAGAAAAAAAAAAAGAATTATTATTTTAATAAATAAAGCCTTTATCCTTTGACAAATTAGTGCCTGCCATTCATCTGTACCCCTGCTCAGACTGACTCGTGAAGATTTGCTGTGCTGCTGAATAATCCTGCCAGGAGGAATTGCTGGTCCCAAGGCAGCGAGGTGGGCACTGAGGCCATGCATGGGGGCTCGGTCGTTGGAGAGAATCATGTGCAAGCTAAAACGAGGTTCTGAAACTCTCATTCATCTGTGGCGGGAGGACAGCAAGGCTTTGGCTTGCAAGAGCATCCTTCTGGCTGGTGTAATGTGGCCGACAGAGGTGGTGTTTTCTGCTGGAGGGGCGTGGGGCTGTGATATACCCAAAGAGCTGCTGTTGCTGTCTGTTCCAGCTCAGGTCACCTTGGCCAACCTCTGCTCCCCACCACTGGGGACACGGAGAGAGGAAAGGATTCAGCAGCCCCTGGAAAAGTGTACTGCCAGCTCTTAGACCACCATCTTTAAAAAAAAAAAAAAAAAGCAATTATTATCTGGAGTCAAAATAAGATGTGCTTTGACCCACAGTAAAGCTGGAGCAGAACAGTGGGCTGAACAGGTCTTCTGGGCACAGCACGTGTGTTTGACTCGCTATGGGTGATCGGGAAGACAGGGTGGGCTCCTCACTAGCACCCCCCCTCTGTGGGGGCACTGGTGGGGAGATGGGAGCAAGCACCAGCACCCTGACCTTGTCCGAGCGGATCAGCATCTCTTCTCACCCATCTGCCTGGCAGGGTTAGCTTGAAACAATAAATATGAAAAATTAAATAAAATAGAAACTCCCTATATTCAGGCAGCCAGGTGTTTCCCCTGGTGCCCCACTGCCCTGTCCCCCAGCACCCCCAGCCTCTGGGAAAGGCCGGGCTGGGAACCCGCTGGAGGGCAGGGACAGCACCCCCCCATGGGACCGACACAGCAGCGAGACCCTCACCCACGCCCTGGTTCCTGTGGATGACACTGGTGAGGCAGGGGCAGGTGATGCAGGCAAGGAGGATGCGGGTGGATTTAGCAGGCCCAGATGTGTGTCTAGGCAATGCAGGCAGGGATGAGGGCAAGCAGGCGGCTACCGTGGCTCAGTGATGGGCTGCTCCTGCCAGGAACCCAAAGCGTTCACCCCACACCCCAGAGAGCCGCTCTCCGTGTGGATCTCTGCACATCCGTGCCCCTGTCGAGGAGGTGGGCAGGGAAAATGCTGGAGATTTGCTGACTGGGGCCCGGCATTTCCACTTCTTCACCTGAGGTGGTTTTTTTCCCTTTGCAAGGAGGAGCTGAAAGGGGAGGAGAAGGTCTGTACACCTGGAGATGTGCTGCGGACAGCTCTTAACTTCATTCTGTGTCCTGATATTACGCCTCTGGAGTCTGCCTGGCTCTGAAACATCTGAATGTTTTTTAAATCCTAGGAGTGGGTTGGGTTTTTTTTCCCGCTAGGCAGAGCAAAGGGAAGCAGATCCAGCTCCCCCATGGTTACAAGCCCAGCCTCTGTCCCGGCTGGTCACTGCTCCCTCCCACCACGGGTCCCTCAGCCCGGCTGCGGTGGGCGACTGAGGGGCAGGCGTGCTCTCAGCTGGGGATGAAATCGAAGCCATTCCCTTCAGAAGCACACAGTTAGTCAAGAGACATTTATTTTAATGTTCATAATAAATATTTTAATCAGAAGAGCTGTTGCTATCCAGGAGGCAGAGCTTCACTGGTCTTCCTACACCAGGGCTGGTGGCATTGAAACAGTTTGCAAAAACAACCTCTGCCCTTGGGAGATAAGCGGGGGTCACTCTTTGCTCCTCCGCCCACAGCAGTGTGCTGCGATATTGCTGTTGACTTCAGCCTCTCTCGCTGTACTGAGAAACATAACGGAGTTTGCCAGAAGAAAGGATTTTTGTGTGATTTGTTGTTGGGCTCATTTTTCTTCTCTTGGCCAAGACTCAAGAATTTCCCGAGTCACTTTTCAGAGAATCCGCTCCAGCAACTCAACAGCAATACGCTCTGTTTGCTTTTTATGACATAAATAAATCTGAAGATCTGCCAAGGAGGAAAGGGGGAGGAAGCCAGGGAAAAACGAAGTGATGGTGTGAGGAATGCCTTTTGGCAGAAGTGGCTGAGTGAAAAAACGAGTGCGTGGACAAAGGAGCCCTGAGAGCTGCTGGGACAACCGGCAAGTCCATCCCAGGGAGGCTCAGCATCTCCGCTTTTACAGGCACGCTGCAGAGGACAAGCTCAGGATTCCTTTCAAACCTTCCCTTTAAGGTAAGGCTTAAACATTCTTCTTAAAGCAAATAAAAACTGTTATTTAAAAGGCATGAAAACATCCAGTAGCTAATAACACTGCTACTAAGACCGGGTGAGAACACAAACGCGTAGGTGGGACACGGGGCATCTTTCTAACAGGCTGAGTGAGTTAAGCTTGCGATTAAGCTTAGTGACTATTTAAAGGAGATAGTCTTCTTAACTTACTTTGATGTGAAATAACGCACAACTGGAGCTCTGTTTACAGCAGAGGTGCATTTCCAATGTTTTTCAGTGCAAACAGAATGCGGTAGTTTCAGCTCAGCTCAGTATTTTAAGTAATCCAGCACTTACGAGGAGTAGATTTCTTTCCCTACACGCAGTGTAAGCTAAAGATTGACTTTTAAAAGTCTTCCGTCCATCTTACACTCTTAAAAATTTCTCCCGAAATACTAAAGGAGTAATGAAATTGGTTCTGCCACTTTTCTCCCAGCTGCCCAAACTCTGCAGCAGCGTGGTTGGGGGTCAGGCAGCACTGAGGGGTGACGGGGAGGGGGGGACATGGTGGGATGTCCGTGATAGGCACTTGGTGTGGCTCTTCATCCCATCCAGGAGCTCCAGTGATGCATCAGCTTGTTGAGATTAATCCATATGACTACTAAAATGAAGGACAAACTGGAAACCTGCTTTAGCTGTGACACAAATCCCGTTTCAGTTGTGGAAATGTATATAGGTGACACATGCAGTCTTGCTTCTGTCAGGTTAAAAGGGGACCAAGCAATGGCAAGTTTTAACTTCACAGTTTCCTCGGGGAAGTCTAGAGATCATTAGCACAGGCTAAATTCAATATTTTATATGCCTGGATTTAGTGAGATCATCTATAAGAGAAAAATCTACTCAGAGTGATGGCGAAGCAGCAGGTTTCTGCCACTGCCCCGTCCTCCCGCCGTGCCGTGCCAGCGCGTGTGTTTGCAGTGTGTACCCAGGGAAAACCACGTGTCGCAGCTGCTTTTCCCAGCATTTCGGTGCCCGCTGCCTCGTTACACGCCTCTCCTGCAGACTGAACATAAGTATTTGGAAGAAGATAAACTCTGTCTTGCCTGTCAGCACCGTGAGGCGTCATCCCCACAAAGGGAACAGAACAACATAAATCCTCCTTCAGTGTGACAGGAAGGTTTGAAAGGATGAGGTCTATAAGCGCTCTGGGATTTCTACCTGAGACTTCACTTAGAGATCGAGATCATGTTTGAAAGCTTATTTGAGCTACATATGTGACAGCAGAACAGTTTGGCTACGTGCGTGTAGCTCTTTTGTATTTGGCTGCTTAGTCCTTTTGCTCATGGTTGTTTTTCTGCTGGTTAATATGGACGTATCCCACCTGCAGAACTTCCTCTGACAGCCAGCTTTATGCCTACTTCAAGTTTCCAGCACCAGCATTAATCCAGGCATCAAATCCTTGTTTAGCTTCGATCGTGGCTTTTTAAGGATGCTGCCACGGCCTTTGGGGTAACACACCACTTGCAGGCTCACAGCTATCTGTTTCCCTCTTGTTTTCCATGAATATCCCCGACAACGACCGCTCTTCCAACGCACTTCTGAGAATTTTCTCTCTCTTAGCTCTGAGTTGCCTTCAGTCAGCGCTGCTTTCCATATGAGCTCAGCTCACACCGGAGCCAAGGAGTTGCTCAACACTTATTGGTGTGAAGCCTATAGCACATTAAAATTACATGCAAAAAAACATTTTGGTGATTTTAATCGACCATATTGTTGCCATTTCTTGGATATTAAAGCCACACTAGCCAATTAGGTCGTGTAGTCTGATCTTAAGGTTTTTTTATTTCAGAAATAACTCCTCCCAGCCTTACCATGCTACAGCACAGAAGCATGAAATTCTGGTTATAATCAGTGTCTTGCTGTTGAGCTGCAAGGATTGGGAGTATGTTGAGGATGACGAGGTCTCTCGGTCCCTCGCTGCTAGGAGATGTGCTGCAGGGCTGGCTTGTGCTCAGCACATGAGGTCTGAGTTGCTTCAGCTCTCTTCGTTTAAGTAAAAAGGGAAAATATCACTGTGCACGTGCAGAAGGACTGTGCGAATAAAAGTAGTCGCTGCTGTTCTAGCTTTTGTTGTGCTTGAAAGTAATTTTTTTAAAAATTGATCGTAGGTTCAAAGATGACACTTCAGAGAAATATGAGTGTATTCCAGCAAACCAAAATTCTCTTGTGGAAGAATGTACTTATCAAGTGGAGGATGAAGATGCAGGGCTTAAAAAAAAAAAAAAAAAAAAAAAAAAAGCGAGTAGCTAACCATTGAGAGTGGCCAATCCCTGCCTACCCCCATCCGCCAATTTTTATTCTTTTTTTTTTGTAAAATTCAAACCTAAAGTACTTTTAAAAAGCCCGACTGGTAATGAACACTTTGAGACTTCATTATTTTAAATAATATTTCTGTCTTTTATGTGACCTATGAGAGCACAGATGGGCTCTTTGAGCAGAGTAATTTCCTGAGGTGCCAGGCACAATGCGAAGACCTTGTTAGTTGGCTGACATCAAAGAAACCGGTGTGACCGCCTCTTGTTTATATTTTAATCCCACAGAGGACACGCTCTTATACTGCTGTATTATTAAATTCTCTTCTCTGCTCTCCCCCTTCCCTAGGAGTGGATGCTGTCTCTGCTCTTTCTGCCGCTGACATTCATAATGGGCACGTTCATGATGAACATCCGCTACCCCGAGGTGCCTTACAGCTACCTGGGGCAGTTAGATGACCCTGCCTACAACTCCACTGGGGTCAC